GGCTTGTACATTGGATTTCTGACCATTTACATGTATTGAGATTTCTGACATTGGACCTGCAATTCGTGATTTCAACATTTTTCTGCCCCTGGATCATAGAATTTGGACTCACGATTTAGTTATTCCATTGTGGAATTAAGATGCCATATCAATTATCTGAACACATTGTTTGTAAGGAAAGAAACAATGTGTAAAGTTTTTTTGCGACAGGATTTGCTTTGATGATTCGCATCATTGTACTGTTGGAAAATCCAAACCTTACCTAAAACTCAACTTTTGAACTGAGGGCAAGAAACTTTCCTTCAAAATTGTCTTGGAGATCTGCAGAGGTTACAGCAGAATTTGCTGTCATACGAAAGTTCTTCCATTTAATTAATATGTCACATGGTGGAAATCTGCCCTCTAAATTGTTTTGAGAGATTTTTGTAGCCTTCTCCATCATTATAGGTTTTTTAAAAGCTTCAAGAAGTTCTTTTGATCTTGGCATAGGATTTCTTTTTTTAATTTAGTCTCTAATTGCACCCTTTTGTATACACAAAGAGTTATATGGTTTAAATGCAGTATACACAGCTTACAAAAAAAAAAAAAAATGAACCCATGTCATTTTGACTTTTACACATGCACAAAAAAAATCATTTTCACTGACAATCATGTGAAACAAAAATACAGAGTGTAAATATAAGAAATCACTTACATTTGCATATCTTTTTTTTTTTTTTATTCCAGCTTCATAAAAATCTTTGAAAGTGGTCGTAACTCATTTAATAAATATTTTACTTAATAAATGTATATCTTAATTAAGATTTGTTATCAGAAAAAAAAAAAAGAAAAAAGAAGAGAGACAATTTTAAAAAAATATTATCTGAAGGGTTCAGTTACTTTTGAGCAGCACGGTGTGTGTGTGTGTATATATATATATATATATATATATGTGTGTGAAAATATATAGAAAATAGGAAGGAACTGGTTAGGTAAATAATCCAAAGTTCCTTAGTATTTTAGTTATTATTTTTAAAAATTAGTGCTCGATACAAAAGTAGAGCATAAATATAATTATTTAAAAATATGATTCCAAATCGCGACATAAGTATTTCGCTTGAAGATGGAACAGAGCTTATTTTAACTCAATTTAATTTAAATAATTATATTGAAATTTTCGGCTCTTCTTTTGAAACATGGGACTTCTTATGTCGCGATTTGGAATCATATTTTTAAATAAATAATTATATATATATATATATATATATATATATATATATATGTTAAAGGCAAAATTTCATTTTATTTTTCATTGAGAAAGGAGACAGAAGTCTCGGAAAATTCAGATTTTTAATATTTTTCTCATCTTCCTATTTTTTCTCAAATCTTAATTATTATTATGCTAATAGACAAAATAGAAGCAAGGAGAAAAATGTTAAAAATCAGAAAAAAAAAAATTATTACTTATTATTATTAGTAGTAGTAGTAATAGTAGGTCTTTTTTTCAAATTGCTATCATCAGCTTACTATATCTACATTATGAAAGAAACCTATGTGGAATATCTTTTAAACACACACACACACACTTAATTTCTGTTCATTTAATGTTATTGCTCCTTAATGCTTTTCTTCTTTTTCTATTCTTTTACACATTCATTGATTGTCAACTTTGACAAGGCTACAATCAAAATAGCTGCTCACAGAGGATTAACGACATTATTCTTTTTATCGAAGAAAAAGAAGTTTCAGGAAACAGCTTAGAGACATTTTTGCATTAGCACAATTCTATTAAATAAAAGAAAATGGCCATTATTTTTATAATTCCCATGAAAATAGACATTGAAATTTACTGGTTCTAAAATTGTTCTAATATTTTTATTAAAAACTGTTTAAATTGTGACTTTCAAAAGTTCACTAAAAAGAATGTTTCCATATTAATTTCTGTGGAGGAAAAATTATTTACATGCAAATTATTGTCCTCATTATTGAACATCAAAATTCTAAACATAATATCTATATATAATGCTAAAACTATGTATATATGTATGTATGTATGTATGTATGCTCCTGAGATCGAACTTAAACGATGCCCCAACCACTTATAAAAGGGTTTGTTCTCATTGTGAGTGTGTCATTCAATCATCAACCCTGGAGTCATGAGTTTAGTCATTATGCTGAGCAATTTTTCCGCACTCAAAATTAAATAAAAAAATTGTGCAACTTGAACAAAACTTATAAATTCATGATTGCAAAATCATCCTAACACAATTGGAATATTTAAATTTGAAGAGACATTTTATGGACCATCAAAATTCTAAACATATCTATATAATACAAAAACTATGTATGTATGTATGCTCCTGAGATTGAGCTTAAACAATGCATAATACCATAACAAATTAAGAAGAATATTGTACCATGAACTAATGTCAAGTGCAGTGCTAAATTTCATTAAAATTAGACAAGGGGTTCTTTAGCTAGGGTCGTTTTCCTGTTTATACAGCATTTTTAATAGAAAGTTCAGTATTTGTTTTTGATACACATTCTTATATCAATCCTCATATATAAACAAACCTTTTACATATTATATTTCATACTATTGTGCGTGTGTGTGTGTGTGTGTGTGTGTGTGTGAAATAAACATTCATAATACATTATAACAATATTATTAAATAAATTTAAATATGCATAACACAATCTATATTTATACAATTCACTAGATTAGAACGTTTTTGATATAAACTCTTCATATGTTTCAAGTAGTTGTTATGTGTCGTGATTTGATTGTAAATAAATAGATGCACACTGATTTGTTGCTGTTATGTATTTTGAAATAAATACAAGAAACAAATATGTATAATAAAATATCTACCTATTATTTTGAAAAAGACTGCACCTGTCTGAAGCAATTACCCCAAATTTTCATTCAATGTGTTAACAATGAAGCACAGTGGAATTATAAACCTTTTCCCGTCTTGAAATACAAATTAAAATGTGTAAATAAGATTGATAATATTTTTTATCTCATTTTGTATCATGAATTGATTTTAAAAGAAACCCAATGGGTTCATCGGTGGTCTAGTCTAAATTATTTAAAAAAAAAAAAAAAAAAAAAAAAAGTGATATTTCTTATTTAGTAAGATTTTTAGCCATGTTTGGTTTGGTTTGTTTTACAGCATATCAACCTCAATGGGTTATTTAATGCCTACAAAATTTTTATTGCTGGTAATATTTTGTTTTGTCAAAAATCTATTTCTGGTAATATTTTTTTTTCAAAAAAAGTATTGCTGGTAATAATTTTTTTTTTACGAAGTATTTCTGATACTAAAATCTATTTTTACACTTTTGTAGTGTTTTTGTCCCAGTTTCGGGGTTAACTATTTGCCTATTGCTGGGACCCAACAGGTTCTGCAACCTTGGGTCAGAGTGGACCTGGGAACACCAGCAATTAAGAGGGGGTTCTATACTCCCCAAAACCTCCTGAGGCCTTGCTGCTGGATGTAGTTTATCGTCTTACCCAGGACACATTTTTAGTCATGTAAAGATTTCAAACATTTGTAAAAATTGGCTGATCAAATTTTACAAGTATGGCTAAGCTGACACTAAATACACAAAAGAAATCATTATTCACATCTTATTGTATGACATGCCTGAATAATGAAAAAAGATTAAAACATTAAAAAAAAACTAAATATTTATTTATGCAATAACATAATAATATATACATATCTTATAAAAAGTTAAAGACGATCTGTAATGTTATTTCCAGATCAATCCTGACATCTCAGATTAGTCACTTTCCCACCATTGTGACATGGCTTCCCTCTTTTTTATAAATATTTTCATAGTAATTATTCTGACAAGCTCTTCTTAGTGTCTCAACCTCATTGACTTGAGTGCACTACTAGATTGGCTATTAGGTCTCATCATTTTACTGTTGAAATAACTAGATGTAAATAGAAGTTCTATTCTGATCTTTTTCATTTCTCACACTACTCGCCTGTGGAACTCCCTTCCAGTTTCTTGCTTCCCTGCCATCTAGGCATCTTCAAAAATTTTAATGCAATGTCAATTGTTATCTTCTGTCTTCCTGAATCCTGTTCTTTTATTGTCCTTTGTCCTCACTAAAGTCTTCTCATTGTCTTCCACTGTCAGTAAACCCTGGGCCTCTTCATAGCATCATTGCTTTGCTTGGAGTGAAATGATTAACAATAAAAACATTTTTACTTGTATTATTTACATTATTTGGCTGTTATCGTCATCTTCATTGCCATATTCACAAAATTTTCGCTGTTGTACACTCTCCGGCCTTCTTCAGGTGAATGTAATTTCAACCCAAACCCTTTATTTCATCCACCAGGGTAGATTGTTCTAGTTCCACGTGTCATATCTCTTTCTGATGTCTCAGTTATTTCCCTTTAACTCAACTCTCCATGTTTTAGTTCACCACTGCTGTGACCTGGTATTGAACTCACAACTCTTTGGGTCTAGTCACTGGATCTAACCAACGTCTTTATCCACTGGGCCATGTGGTGAACAAAAACTTGAAGTGTTGAGTTAAAGGAAAATAACTGAGACATCCAGAAGAGGCATGGCATGTGAAACTAGAACAATCTACCCAGGTGGACAAAATAAAGGGTTTGGTTTAGAATTCCAATCACCTGAAGAAGGCCAGAGCATACAACGGCCAAAACATTGTGAATATGGCAATAAAGATGAGGATAACAGTCCAAATAATGTAAATAATACAAGTAATCATAATACTACATCTCGAAGCAGAGATATAGATAGAAAAACTTTTCTTTTTTTTTTTTTAATTATATGAAATACCACTCAGCTTGACTTTAAATTTTTACCATGATTAAAATATAAAAGGCTGTAATTATCGTTTATTGAATGGTGACTGCAAAATGACTGCTCTGGAATTATATCTTTTTTGACTCACATGATGTGCCAATGCTCTACAAAGAGCAAATTTCTGTCACATATTCTGATGAGCACCAACCAGCATTTAAACTTACCGTGTGTTCCAATCAATCTGTTTCCCAGTAGGTAGTTTGAGGTACGTAGGGAAGACAAGTCCAGACAAGGTGGGACTGACATATTTATAAATGAATAAGAAAGCAAAACAGCTTAAGACAGCAGCTGGAAGGTAGGAAGCATCCCAGACCAGGGTGCTAGGTGAAGACATTCTCACACCTCACAGAGTGGAAGAAGCAACAGCAGCAGCAGCAACAGTTCATCAGGACATGAAGGCGGCAGCAGTAGCAGTGGTGGCAGCGGCAAGAGCAGCGGCAACAGCTGAAAAGAGACCAGAAATTAACTATTAACATATTGCCAAATTTACAGATCTAAGCATTCATAAAGTATCTGAACCTGGAATGTTTGCCCATTTAAAGAGAACCATGCTAAGATTATTTCTTTTACTTACCAATTCAGTAAAGACTACCTCTCTTGTCATAATGGATTTTATTTCTCTTATTTAGGGATCATCATTTTGTCAACAGAGTCAAGAACAAGAGAAATCCTGTGTCAACAGAGTTTGTATCAATATTAGAGAAATTTACTTAATTTTTGTTTCCCATTTCACAAAACCAATATCAGAGTTCGATTAAAAGTAGGTCTTGCTCTGGAAATTTTTTTTTTTTTTTAAATTTTGATAAAAGACCTCCATGAGTTTCCTCTGCTGACTAAAATGACAAAAATTAAAAAACAATATAGGGAAAATATTTGAGAATTCACAAACCCTAAAAAAATAACCAACTTTATTTTGCTTGTTTTGAGGCCAAAGTTCATCATCTGGTGTGGTTGATGTGAAAGGTTTAAAATACAAGACATTTCAGCGCCAAAATGTCCTGAAAATCTGCCCTCCATCTACAAGCCTCTTCAAAAATAAAGTCACTTTTCTATAATCATTGTCGTTAATTGTAGCAAAAAATTTCCAAGTTATCTATGGTCTGCGAACAAAAAAAAATTTTTTTTCTGTTAAATTAATAGGAACTGTACCTTCAATTTATTTCTTCTTGTAAAAAGATTCTGAGGAACACTTTACTTCCAGATAGTGAAGAAAACTTGTATATTGTAATGAACATGGCATATCTCCCCAACGAAAGAAGCATAAAATCACCTGTGCCATAGACAGTCACGTAAATTACCTAGTGCCTTAGGACTAATTAAATATCTGTAGGTGGGAATGAAAAAAAATCTACATAACTGACTGAGGCACACATAAAAGCTGGCAGATTTTGTCTTTGGGGGAAAAGGATTACGGACTGCAAGGAATACAATATGTTTGAACAAGCCAGCTGTGAGGTTCAAGGACAAAGACATAGTGAGGAATGTGAAACAAATTACTACAAATAGATTACAAATATATATTAATACATATATAAATTAAGAATTCAAACAAAAAGAAAAAATGTTAAGTTGTAGATAATAGTCTAAAGGACACATGCACCTGTTTTGTTATACTGTTCTTAACTGGTGGTAATATCAAAGGCAACAGGTAAAAATTTAAATGCTGATTTTCAAGAGAGAGAGTTACCCAGCTTGAAAAAAAGGTGCATCACAATCTTCTTATTCATAAAAGGTAGAGTACTGGTGAGCAAGCTGCTCTCACAAAGTAATTCTGGTTGAGTGAATAGCTTACAGCAGAGAAAAGGTTGACCTCAAAGTTTTCAACATGGAAGCAAAAATATTTTTACTAAGACTATCCCAAAACTATATAGTCTTATTAAAACTATCCCAAAACTATATAGTGAGGCGATTCTGAGATAAATAGAAGTCCTACTGGGATTCATTATTTAAGAAGAAAGGACTAAACATCAATTGCAAGAAGAAAGAATGCATGGTTGTTAGCAAAAGGAACAGCCCAATATGCAGATTGGAGATTCCAAAAACAAACGAGTACAACTTAAATATCTAGGAAGTGTTTTAACAGAGGACAAAAAGTGTGACACCAAGATATCCAAAGGCACATTGGGATAGTGAAAGACACCTTCAAAAAGCTAAGCAAAGTATTGAGAAACAGGAAGATTTTGTTAGAAACAAAGACAAGAGTGATGAAGTGTTAGGTGATATCAGTCCTCCTATATAACAGTGAATGCTGGAGAATGTTCCCAGAGATGAAAATCTGATATTCACATGACAGGTTGAAGGCAAGAGGAACAGAGGAAAATGATGCATAACCTACCTAGAGAGCTTGAGTAAATGGATGCTGGAACAAGGTTTAGGAGAAATAACAAAAAAGAGAAATGACACTGACAAAATAGTATGGGCCATTACTTTCTCATAGATACACAAGAATGAAGTTCACTAGACAGACACAAATTCCAGCAAAGGAAATGAACCAGCAAATTAATTCCACCAAACAAGTAAGCCACCTTCAAAGTGTACATCAATGTGCCACAAGATTTTCCAACAACCCTCGTGAGGTTTTGAATTCAGAGTCATCCTTCTCCAAGACAGATTGCCAACCATGGCTAAAGAGCAGAGTGTCTTACTATTTAGCCTATAGCCATGTACTGATGAAAAGATCGATTCATGCCTTTTCCAAGTGTATTTACGCATAAGTGAATTTAATGAACTTGATTGGAATTTGAAATCGAGTGAATTTTCAGTCCAAGCTACTATCCATTACATTAACCACACGTATTAGGTGCATGATCAAGTGGCTAGAACATTCTCTTTTTGACCATGAAACCCAGGTTTGGATCTCACCATGGTCAGGGAGAGATTTCTTAATTTTAACATCCCTGAGAGACAATCCTAGCATATGGTACCACATTTCAAAATGCCTGCAAACAAGAGCACAGGTTAGGCTAAGCTGTGAGAATGGAATTGGATATAGTTGAAACTGTTCTAAAAGTCAGAATGGTTGCACAAAGTCACAAGTTGTCATGACAGATGATTCAAGTGTGCTAACCTTGTTCAAAATTTTGATCACGCCAGATTATGCACTCTCTCCCAAAAACTCTAATGTCTGCTCAGCATAGTTGCAGTATAAACAACAGTTGTGCTGTGTGTTTTGACAAACACAAATGTGCCTGAGCAAGCATCTGAAGCAGAGATTGGCTAATCGCCAGAGAAGATGGCTAAAACAAGTAGCCAGCCATTGTATTTTCCCTGCATTCAAAATGGTTAACCTTCACATCAGAAGATTCCATCTTCTTGTATAGGGATGTAATAGGGTACTGGCTCTGGCACTTTTGATTGCATGAAATTACAGGATGGTGATTTGGAGAGACTAATAATTGTTAAAATTCTCAAGAGAGTGAGTTGAATGGTTGAGAAAAAAATTAAAATGAAATGTATTAAAATAATAAAATGAAATTAAGAACAGTTCTAATGAGAATTAAACCCAAATTTAACTAGTCAGGATTCAGTAAGATTGAGCAAAACCAAGATTCACAATCCTATCCACTGCCATCTGATAAAAAACAGATGTGATTAATGCATTATCCAAATTGCTTGAGTCCTGAGATACTAGAAAATGGGTGTTGTATATTATTAATATATTACTGGTAGAGAATGTGTGGTCATAGAAAACAATGATGAAATTTATTCTGGACAAAGAACCAGGGAACACTTGGTTTATGTAGAATGTGCTATGCCAACAAAGCAGGAAAAAAATTATAGAAAGATAATAAGGAAGCATTTGAATATAAACAGTAATTTTTTTTTTATGTTTATACATTCTTTTTTTATAGATACAAATATTTAAGTAAATGCTCTGTTTATAATAAACAGTATTAACAACATTTACTGGCCTGAATAGCCAAAACATTTTCATAGAAAATATGCCTCCTCTGATATCTTTTAATATTAAGTTGTAATATTTATATGTATAAAAAAAAGACAAACATAAAAAAAATGTCTTAAAGTAATTGTCAGACATTTTGTCCATTTTTTATATATATATATATATATATATATATATATATATATATATTTATATATATATATATATATATATATATATATATATATATATTTTACGCATTTAACTTGATAGTCATCCAGCACTTGATAGAGCAAACATCAGAGACCTTAGGAACACACTGGCATTTTGGTAGTTTGGGATAGCTCGGAATTGCTTTTAAGATAGTTGTCAAAAAAAAAAAAAAAAAAAAAAAAAAAAAAAAAAAAAAGCACACCCACAATTTCCAGGCCAGTCTGAAAACACATAACTGATGAATTGGGTGAGAATCAATTGACTCTGGACATCTAGACTTTAACAGTAGTGATTAGAATCTCCAAATCAACATTCCAACAGTAGAGTATTTTGATTTGCAGAAGATAATAGTGATATTTTATTCAACCAGTTTTTCTTTATATTCAATAAACCTGTTAGAGTAGGTACCTCCACGAAATCGCTAAAAAAAGAGCATAGCTTGATGAAAAAGACGCCAACTTTGCCGAAAACTAAATTTTATTGTCTAAATGCTTATGTTATTATTAAGAGGAAAGACCAAAGTTTTTTTTTAATTATTTTTAAAAAATTTTCCTTCTTTTTTAGAACATTCTAAATTTTGATTAAAAAAAAAACCTTTTTCTATTTGTATCAGTGGAACTAGTAAATAACAGACAATTTTTAGCACGTTTTTTTGGTATGACACACATTAATTTGAAAAATCGTGCAAAAATAGAAATAATTATCAGATGTTAATGAAACTTTCAATAACTATTCACAGATGATCAAAATTATTATAAATATGTTTTTTTTTTATGAAAGTCATGGTAGAAATATTTAAAAAAAATATTTATTACCCCCCATAACTAATTTTATGAAAACGCTAGAAATTTGATCGCATCGGTTTTAGTGATTACAATAATTAAAAGCACAGGGCTTTGAGGAATGCAAATAATGTTTTTTTTCTTTTTAATTGGATACGCAGTAGCTGAAAATCAGCTCTGAATTGTAACATACAAAACTCAATAAAACAAAGATATTATTTAATTTCAAGTGCTTTTATTTGCTTTTAGTTGTTTTTATGAATATGGACAATATTTTCTGAAAGCAAAAAAATTTTTTCGATGAAAAATGAATTTTTAATACAATTATTTGTTATTTCATGAATTATAATAGATTTTACATTTAAGTTGTTAAAATATTATAAAATTAGTTAAAAGCCGCATCAGCTTTCATAAGTGTCCTTATGAGAGATCTTTTTTTAGCGCGTTGTAAATTGT